GCCTATCATTAATTACGCCGCGGATTGTAAAATCGATGTATAGATTTAATACTTATATAATATTATGTTGTGTATGATATATTATAATTTATGTTATAATTCGTACGACGTATCTACAATGGACTTGTTTTAGGTAGATATAAAAAAAACAATTTTAAATATGATTAAACAACAACGATAATAGATATTTTACATAAAATCAAATAAAAATGACCCAGCGTAACACGCTTAGAAACAATGAACAGAGTAAATGGAAACTATATAACTCGATGTCTGTGTATAGATTTCTTATCCGCTCGATCGTATCAGGGATCGAATTGACGATGTCCTTCGGTTTAGTATTACGACCACTGTCACGACAGTACTAAAATATACATATATTTATAAATATTGAATAAAATTTGATAAATCCGAATTAGATAAAAAAAAAAATGCGGTTCGAGTAAAAGTACCTCGCCAAGAGTATGTATAATACTATATAGCACCCTCCCCCCCTTTTCGGAATATACATGTATATATGACCATAATCCGCGGTCCCGTTTAAAGTGCTCTTCAAAAACGAAATGTTTATTCGAGCAGTGTACCGCTTTTCGTTTTCCTGAGTATCACACCAGAACGATAAATTAGCTATACGCGCAGTCTGTACATAAAATTATAATATCTCTGCATTATAAATATTAATGTAAAACTCCGCGTTCTCATTTTCTGTGTATACATGCATACATGTACTCTGTATATATGTAATATATCGCTCAAAAATTTGAATACACCTAATAACTCTCGATAAAATATTAATAACAATATTAAACGACCTAACCGTCTGCGGTTTTAGATTCTGAACGAAGAAATAATTATTATATTATATGATATCCATGTCTTTGTAAACTAATGATTCTGCAAGAAATCATTTTCCAAACAAAAACTTTATACGGGATTTCCTCGTAGCGTTTTCGATCCGACCAGAGCGTCGTCGGGGAGATCGTTTTTCGATTTCCTTTGTGATTTTCTCAATACGCTCGAAAAACTAGCAATTTTCGGTATAATTTTTGTTGTTTTCCGGGCGTTACATTGGACAACACGGGACAAAAAAAAACACTAATAAAATGCTCGGCTCGGAATCGTTTTTCGTTAGCAACGGTTTATTGTTGCAGATTACAAGATAGTATAAATTAAATTACGTCACATATTATAATGTCCTCCCTATTCCGACTTTTCTCAAAAAAAAAAAAAAAAAAAAAAAACGGCGGCACAACCTTCAGTAATATCAGTCATTTTTTTTTGAAAAATAAAAAATACTTCATGTCGTCCATGCACAACTATTGTTATAATAACATTTTATACGCGATACGTTTTGATCGCGTGTGATTAATGATAACATCATTAAAACGCGTAGGTCGGCGCTACACTCACATTAACATAATTCCCTCATACATATAAAAATACGTACAGATAAAAAATACATTTTTTGATAAAAACCAGTATGGTTTTATGAACGGTAGATTTACTAATAATTCTTATTTTATAGTAAATGACTTCATTCACGAAAATCATAACAAAAAACAACAAATGATTGGGGTATTCCTTGATATTAAAAAAGCTTTTGATTCCTTATGAAACCATAAAATACTTTTAAGAAAATTGGAAAATGCATGAATTCGGGGTATTACTCTTAAATTACTAAATTCCTATTTATCTAACAGAACTCAGTTAGTTAAAATAAATAATACATGTAGTAATCCCTTAAAAGTGTCTTAGGTGTACCGCAAGGTACAGTTCTAGGTCCATTGTTTTTCATAATATTTATTAATGACTTACTTGGCTTAACGCTAAATGTTAAAATAATTTGTTTTTCTGATGATACTGTTATATTAATGTCTGATAAATCATATAATGAAATATATTTTAAGGCAATCAGGATTGTGAACCAAGTTAAATCATGATTTGATATAAACTTATTGGAACTAAATCTAAACAAAACTAAATAAATACACTTAAAAATAAAAATTAATAATACTAATCGTAATAAACATGAGAAAAAAATATATATTCACTTATCTTCTTTTAACTACTCCAATCGTATATTAAATGGTTTTTTGTTAGATGAGGTAGATAACATTAAATATCTTGGGTCACACTGTGATTATGAATTGAAATGGTGTAATCATATAAATTTGTTTTATTAGGAAATTAATTTATACTCTAAAATATATTAGATACATATGTACTATACAACATAAACGTATTATACATCTATCATTAGTACAATAAATTTTAAATTTTGGTACTCCACCTACACTAATTATTTATGCAATTTAAATAGAACAGTTAACTAACTAATTAAATATATTCTTAACAGCCCGTCAATTAACAATAATACTAATATCCATAATGTCTTGAATACTCAAAATTTATACCAAATCGTTAAAAAGCGATTATTACTTTTAGTTTTTCAATATATGGTAAACATTTACTTAGACCAACAAATCATGACTCGTAGAAAATATCAAAAACAAATGTTAATTTGACTAAATATAATCGTAACTCCAATTTTGGTAAAATGAATCCATTAAATATTGGAACTGATTTATGTATCAGATTTAATATAAATATATTGAGTTTCCAAAATTTTATTTTGTATAAAACTTTATTAATAAATTAATATTATTAATGTTTAAATCTTATATTTAGTGGTAAATGTATTAGTCTATGTACTTAATTTACTTTACTTAACTTATGTACTTTTATTGATACAGCTCTTAATTGTGCATGCCATCTATACTGCTAGCTATATTATCTATATTGTAATTTTTTTTTTTTTTTTTTGATTTATATCATTGATTATAAAATTATTTAATTTTTTATATAACCAATCTTCCTTCCTAAAAACTTAAAGAAATTATTGAGCTCTTAACCCCACAACAAGCATTAGCTTAAAGGGGTTTAGTTACTTGTATGTAAAAGAATATGCTCTTTGTATATATATTTGGTTACAAAAAAATATTATTTTTATTGTTATTATTATTATATCATCTTTCTCTCGTGCCGTATTACTTTCAGGACCTAACTATACGGTTTTGTATACGATGAATTTACATGTCGGTATTTGATTCCGAGCCCCGAAGTCGCCAACCTACCGAGAGGTTTTTTTTTTTTTGCATAATTCAGTCGGAAATTTCATCGGATTTCTATAAAATGTATAGTGCGGGTATAATACCTATATATATATATATAGTTTTACACCACTGTTTCAGGTTAGCCACAGAGGTATGCGGCGTTTTATATATTTTATATATTAAAACTAAAAACAGTAAAAGCAAAAAAAAAAAAAAAAAATACAAAAATATAAATCATTAAGTTTAGACGAAAAAGAAAAAAAATTTAAACAAAAAAAAAAAAGAAAAGATTTACGAGTGTCTATATTATATAAACTGTAGCTGAGAAACACAAGTTTAATTGCATGACTTTAGAGGTGTAGTTATGTAGGTACCTATAGTTATTTATTTTCTTCAAGACGTTTTATTTTTTTATTTTAAACTTTAAATCCAACTTACCTATATATTATATAACTAATGTTGAAAAACTCGACAAATTTCCACACTCGTGTATTATGTCCTGCATTTGTATAAAATATACGTGTAGGCAATTTTGATATAATTGTTGGACGAAAATTATTATTATACAGGAATGAAGTTTTATTTATATTCCAAATAAAGTTTTAAATAATAAAAACATAATAATAGCTAGACAAATTTAATAGAAATTGGTCAGATAATAAAATTGTATTTTCGTATACAATGTGAAAATATGAAATAATTATTTTTAGTCGTGGCCAAGCCTCTGAAATCTGTATAATTGTATGGTACATATATATATATATATATATACATATATATATTTGAGACATATCTATGGAATCAATTCAATTTTCAATTCAATATACAATTCCGATCAAAAACTTAATGGGAACTTTTTTGTAGTTTTCTAAATACCTAAATAGACAAAAATGACAACTTTGTGTACAGTTTTTGTTGATTTTTGGGTTCCCTCGGGAACAACGGAAAAAAAAATCAACTAATAATACCAGAAATAATACTTAAATAATAATACTCAAATTGTTTTTCGTTAGAAATGGTTTATCTTTACGTACAGATAATACAATTTATATTGATAATATTTTAGCATTTGTACATAGTACTATTATGCGTATATACCTATGTCATAGAACGAATTAATAATAAAAAATTAACAAGTAAGCTATTCTTGAAAAATTATCAACAAATTTTACCTGATGCTCCGTGGAAGACATTACAGTACAACTCCTCTCGATGGCCGGATACCGCAAAACCCAAAGGGTAAATCACCAATGAAAATTGTGTACATCTGATTCCGAAAACCACGATTTCCTATATGGGGGCTTACCCGTTTCCGCCAATTCAAAAAAAAAAGGTTTAATTTCCGTTTCCGCAAATATACCTACTATGGCAAAAATTTTATAATTACATTTTACATTTTTAGAAGAGATTTTGCATTTTTATGTCATGACAAAGTTATAACAAAAATGTTTATTTTTCTTGTATGTATAATATTATGTAAAAATAACTTTTTAATGTCTTTGATTTGAAATTGATTTTATAGAAACTATTTTTACTTGTACGGAATAAACAGACCAAATTTATATTATATTATGTGAAAGTGAATTTTCGATAAAAATTTTTAATGTAAGTATAATAGCTTTAATGGGTATATTGGTAGAAACGGAAATCAAACCTTTTTTTTTAAATTTGCGGAAACGGACATTTAATATTTTGGCGTACAAAATACGGTAAAAAATAAAACGGTACATCCTCCCCTTATAAGATTACCAACAATTTTCTATTAGATTTCCGTGATTTCCAAGCGAATTTGTATTTGTATACCGATTTCCGTTGGTGATTTACCCTCCGGCAAAACTGGTTTTTCAAACACGGCGCGTTACGAAAACTTATACGGCAAAATCGATGAACCAGCGAAAGTCTGAAGTTATTAAACGATTATTAAAGTTTATTGTAGTCGCGGGCTCGTATAATAAATTGGCCGGAAATCCATTAATACGCCCTGACAAACCCGTATGTCATGGCATACCCGGATTGGGTATGAATTTATGAAAAAAAACTAATTTTGGGAATTAATTATTAAGTTCGTCAGAGTCGATTCCACCGACGCCAACCGTTTTCGAAATGAGCGAGTAGAAGCCGGCGAACGTGCGAAAAGGGGAAAAATGGCGGTTGGTGCAGTCGGTCAAAGTGCCAACGCCGAACGAGTACCTATACGTTATTCGAAGGGGAGAGGAAAAATATTCGGAAAGGAATATAATCGGTGGATTAGACGTTTTCAAACTTTTGCTGTGTCTACCGGACGCGAGAAACACGTGGATTTGGATTATTCGTACGCGTTGATTATTTTACACTGGCGGCGGATGAAATGATTAAACGGCACGCGACGACGGCACCGGTTCGCGAACGACGAAAACATAATTTGGCGACGGAACGCACTCGATACGCGCGATAAACGTTACGACGACGCAGGGCGAAATAAGAAAATCGGATTACACGACGACCGCACGTTCGATTAATTCGCGAACGCAACGGTTAAAAACAGAGGCGATCGGTATTCGCGGACGAAATAAACTGCTCTCGGCGTTTCGCCATAGGTATCGCGGCGGCCGAAGTATCGCCGTCTTCCGCGAAACGACCTCGACGGTTCGGCCAACCCGGAGAGGCCGTCACCATAGAGAGTACCGCGTAATTTTGCGGCGAAGACGCATGAACGCGTCGTAAAAGTTGGCAGAACTGATAGCGCCGTCCGAAACTTGGAACTTGTACGGAGCTGGTCGCACTGCAGGTATATAACAATGAAATTATTGTTTCGAGTGCGAACGCGATTATCGTTATTTTTCCGACGGAAAACCGTTGCGAATTGTCGGGCTCGCGCGTAATGCGAGTAACGCATTATTAAGTACAATGACGTTTTGTTTTCTGTTGTGTCCGCGGAGTTTTCGTTTTATTTTCCTACTCTATAAGTACACGAACCGAAATAAAGTAAAGTCGCGATGATCGTTCGTCAAGAAACTGACGGTGTCGGCAGCAACGGTGGTGACAGTAATATAGGTTAGTACTTTTCCGTTAACATTTTAACGGAAACTAAATAATGACCGCGGGTTTATGCACGTTTACTGTATGGGTACCGACACGATATTTTCGACGCCGCGATAAGTAAAAAATTATGTTTATTGGTTTTACAGTGGGGATTTTGACACGGAATACGAGCACTATCGCAATACATCGGTTAGGGACAGTTTTCAGAACTTTTTTTTTTTTCGTTTTTATGCGGGAATTTTGCATCCAGTAGCGTATTTATACAGGGGGAGATTAGGGAGATATATCTCCACTTTTTTCTGTTTAGTATGTATTATTAATTAATTATAAAATTATAAATTAATTAATTTTGAGTCAGAAAAATCGATATTTGCTATAATACCTAGTTATTTGATATCTGTGGCAATTTTAGGACGGTGTTAATCGTCGTCTAAGTGTCGAACGACAACAGTCTTAATTCTCGGTAGGTACCTATTTTATGACACGTATAATAATATAACAGTAAAGATGTACAATTATTAGTATTATCTTCGTCTATCGGTTGTGTCAGTCGTCGAAAATAATGTTATGCCGTTGATGCCCGTGTGGAGCCGAACGATTTTCGCGAATCGCGTTCGCTATCTTCGCACCCGTAAACGTTTCATAAAAGGATAATGTGACGTCATCATCACGATGGTATAACAGACCGGTCAGGTTAGGTTATATTAGGTCGAAACTCGAGTTTTTAGCTTGCGATAATTTTGTGCTGTACTGAGGTAACCGGTACCCGACTTCACTATATCTGCTCGACTCAGACGGCCTAAATCCGGGATTCCGTCACATTGGCGCTCGAAGTGCCACGTCGCGGACCGAATGGTATAGGGGGGGGGGAACGACTCGGCGCTCGACGAGGTGACAGATGAACGGCCGTCATTGGTCGAACTTGTTCGGGGAAAAGGAGGGCGGGGTGGTACGCGCCGTACGAAAAATGTCGACTGGAAATTCAGGGGCGCCGGCCGTCACAATAGGTATAGAAAATATTATATCTCGTTGGTTGTACCGTTTGTTTTTGAGTCGAAAATATTGTAGGCGTCCGTGGTGCTGTGCGATAATCGTCCACGACCGGCGACTATGCGAGCGTTTTCGCGTGCGATTATAATAATAATATTACGTTATTTAGCGGGTTTTTCGTTTTCTATCAAAATTCGTTTTATCCGTCTTCTATTGCGGTGAACGGCGAACGCGCGGAGTCGAGCCGTTTACGTAGAAGAGTAACGGTCGCACCGATAATCGCTTGACAAGAACAATATGTCGGCGGCCGAAGTCAGTCGAAGACGTTATCAGTGAGTACCTATTTTGATTTTAATTAACATTTCCGAGAAAATATGCTCGCGGTATTACTTATAGTCTATGATATTATTAAATTACTTAGTACGTCGTAGCGTTCGTTAGGTAATTACTAATATTGATACCTATCGGAGGCGTCTTCAGACCTCGGCTACGGGGGAGGGGTGGGTAGCGAAATAATTAAATTTAATATTAATGTGTGATAAAAAAAAAAGTCTTGTCAAATAATATATTGGTTATATTTACTTCTGGACTAATGGCTATGCCAAATGCCAATGTAAGTCCGCTTCTCTCAACAGCTCCCATCGCCATCTCCCCCATAAGGACGTCCCTGTTACCTATCGTATATTTTAAAGCGATGTTTCGACGTATTATTTTCACTTGTGCACTCGGAAATAATACTATGATACATGGGCAATGGTGTTATCAAAATAGACTATAACTTAACTATAGAGATGAGTCACGTGGAAACCTGCGCACAGGTAAGTGTATTAAAGATACGTCTGTAACTATTGAGATGTGTAAAATTCGGAGTCTGCGCAAATAAGGCCTGGGAAATTGGTCAGACAATTATAACGTTAGACATCGTTGGCATAATATAGTTTTCACCCAATGGGATTAAAAAAAACTTTTTTTTTTTTTTATTGAATTTTACCCGAAAATATAATGATTATTATGACACACTATGGCACTTAACCGTTCATTGTTTTGTATCTATTATAATATAATATACATATCTTTTTCATTAAACACTCAGAGCTGCTTCCTATAGACAAAAAGAGCTCAAACGCGGGAGTATAACTTTTTATATAGGCGGATTAAAGTGATAAAATGTTGATTGAATTTTAATACGAATTACACCTCGTTCAAAGAGGGAGGAGGGCTTTATACATCACTACAGATCCCCGAATGAAGCCAGGGAGATGAAATGTTGTGTGCCCATGGTGAAGGTATTAAGGACGTGCCTTTTGATGGTTCTAACTTTCAATCCTCTCCCCTCCGAGATGAAACTTTTTTGTTTGATTCCTCATCGTTATCGGAAGATAAAATAATAGGATACTTATTGTACTTAAAGGAGGGCAGAATAAGTAGACTGTAATACAGGACATGACGAGGGGGGATAGACTTGGTTAACGGGTGCCTATAAGTACTTAAAAAACCAAAGCAAAATTGTCACAAATGTCATAAAACTCCAGCAATTCAGTATTATCCGTGTCACAACACTGATAATAATAAAACGAAACGATAGGTTTGTAAAACCTCACTGCGGTGTATTGCGATAGTTTTTCGTACGGTTTTTATGGAATGATAACATTACGAATAATCATAGTCGTTTGGAACATTATTTTATAAAAGGACCGTCCTTTGTTTCGCGTCACGAGTATAATATTGAACATACTACTTATATGAAACCATTTTTCCGATAAATGAGGAACGTGGCGTTTTAACCGCTACATGCTTGGCGCATAGGCGCAGATGCAAGTAGTAGTGATGATGTAAACCGATGATATTACTATTTGGTAAAACAAATTAAAATAAGTAATTTATCGAGCAGTAATAAATAAATATTACTTTACCATTATACGAGAAATTTGTTATTTAATAATATTATTATCTGAATAACCTTTATTTAATAATTGTCACTAACTTTTGGCAAGTAAATTAACTACTATATATATATATATATTATTGGTTTTGTTTAGCTTTAATGAATCGTATTTAATGTATTTAATGTGTGTTCTAGATACCTAAAAAATTAAAATTTAAAATACATTGTGTTATATTATTATAAAAAGGGAATAAACTATAATTTGTATTTCAGTATAGCAATATTAGTATAGTTAGGTATTTTATAATTTCAATAAGTATTAATTTTCATACAATCCGGTATAGATTTTACTAATTTTTTTACGTTACCTAAAAACAATTAAAGTAACCCTAAAACCGAATCACCGATAATTATACATCTATTGAACATTAATATAGCGGAGATGAGAAAACTTGATTGGATTGAATGGAATGGTGTGATAAGATAGGATAAAAATTAGTGCTTGAGTAGTAGCTTTAGGTGTTATTTCGACAGTTAGTGGACAAAGTGAGAGAAAATAGACTTGTTTGGGCGTGTCGTTAGGACAGTGGCATCGGAAACAGGGAACCTACTTAACCCTTAGTGTTATAATGAAAATAGACGTAGAAGGAAAGAGGAGAAGAGGTAGGCTGAAAAAGAAGGGGCTGGAATTGAGAATGATATTATAAGGACGGTGGGTATATGCGAGAACGGTGTGGGGGATCGGATCGGGTCAAGTGAAAGTTTATTACGAGGATGGCCGACTCCAAATAGTCTGAATGAAGGTGAAGAAGAAAAAGAAGAGACGCCATAATTATTTGTAGGTATTATAATAATTAATGTACCCATTTATAATTAAATCAAATAATCTATTCTTGGAAATCGTTATTTTGCGATTATTATATAATATTGTTCGGAGAACCGAAACAACAAAGTATACAAAATACACGAAAAATCCAAACTGAATGATTCCACGTGTCACGTTCGTCTTTCGAGTTTGAAATTCATCGACCTCCACTCTCCTCCGTCCAAGATTTTCCTGAGACAAGTTTATTTTTAGACACCCGACCAGATATGATTCACATTAAATATTAATATTATAAAAGTAAAAATTCTAAAACTCAGATAATATGTATGTTTTAAATAGTCTAAACGGAGTAATCCATTTGTAATAATAAACCGGAGGATTTCTCAGAGAATTAATCAATCAAAATTAATCTTTTATCGAAATTCCACGAAACAACATACACATAAACTGATAAGACTGACGGCCAATTTAATTTGTCTATCAATTTCCCGTCCTCGTGTCCATCATAACAATGTTATGAAAACAATATTTTACATTGATTATAGTATAGAACGCGGATTAATATTTTTTTAAAATAGCCAAAATATGATACTTATATATTCGCTTAAAAATTTCAATGTATGCTTGTAATGTTCTAAAATATTAGTAAAATACACAAAAATATGTTTTTATATCAATCTATTCGTTTTACATCAAAACATGTACTTACATACAAAAGCAAAACAAATTTAACAAATACTAATTAATAAAATCAATTTTAAAATAACATTTTTCAAATAAGAATAAACTGATTTTTAGATTTTGAATGGAGCGAAGAAA